GGGGGGGGGGGGGGGGGGGGGTCTGGGGTTTGGGGTGTTTAAGGTTTACAACTCCTTTTGGGGCGCCTGCTGTTCTTGGGATGGCAGGCGTGACCCCGGTTTAGGATTTAGGGTTTAGGGCTTAGGGTTTAAGGTTGCCTTTCAGCTCATCCGCGCCAACGCAAACCTGCGGGGGAGCCTGGTCCAAAGACAGCGCGCCAGCGTTCGCATGGACCATGAAAGCTTCGGGAATGCTGCGTCAGGATGCAGGTTCTTTCGTGGCGAGAGCCACAGGAAAAGTTCTCAAAATTAGTATCCCCTCTAGCGGAATCTCAACAGTGAGAGTTCCCCGTTTGAGCAATTTCCAGTTTGGAGGGGAGGTAGGGTCTGAGGCATTCAGTGGGCGGCTTTTGGGTTTGGGGTTCAGGGTTCTGGCTTTTGCTTTTGGGCTCTTGCCCATCTTGCTGAGGAGAACACAAGAGACTCGGGTACCAGGTTGACAGGGCTTTACAGGGTTTCATGGCTTTACAGGGTTTTAGGCTTCTAGGCTTCTCTGTTGGCCTCCATGGTTGTTCTTCGGTGGCCCTGGTGCAGAACTTGAACCAACAGAATTTCAAGGAGTTCGGGGGCGGCGGCTTGGGAGCTCAAAGCTCAAAGCTCAAAGCTCAGAGCTCAAAGCAGTGCAGAAGTGCCGTCGCGCATGTTTCGCATCTTGCGCATCTCCCTCCAAATCCATGTCTGCGTCCTTGTCGGCCGCAGGGAGCGGCAGGGGCAGCTCCGGAGGCCGCGCACCCTGGCAGAGCGAGATGCTCGTCACGGTCCCGCAAACGTCTACGACGCCGTTGGGTGCCCCCAGGCTGGGCCACCTCCACTCCTCAATCAGGGGCCCTGTCACCTTGCACTTCTCCTCGCCCTCCTGAGGGCGGGTGAACAATGAGGTTTCTTTGACTGGGTTTAAGCACTCCCTCTCACCCCCCACTCACTGCTCTTCTGTTTTTTTTTTTCAAGCCTTTGCTTTTTTAGCCTAGGGAATCATGGGGTCTAGAGAGAGTACTTCGAGAAAGCCCTGCGCTCCTCCAAGATGGTGAGGGTGAGGCTGCTCGGCCCCATATCCAAGACCACGCCCAGCACCGCGCCCACTGTACACTCGAGCAGCGGCCGCCAGGTGATCTTGGCCTGGGCTGCTCTAAGGGTCTTGGGGGGGGTTCTAGGGGTTTCTGGGAATATTGTAGTGTTCAAGGGGCGTTCTAGGGTTAACAGGGTTTAGGGGGACCCTAGGAGTTTTTAGGAATTTTGTAGTGTTCGTAGGGCTTTATAGGGTTAGTTTAGGTGGATTCTAGGGATTTCTAGGATTTGTGGTGCTCAGAGGGTTTACAGGGTTTGGGGCTTTGGAGGGTTTTTTTGTTTAGGGTTGAAGCCTTAGGTTACCGGAGGAACACCCAGATGAATCTACCACATATCCACATTGTGGTATCTTGGCTTGTGTTCCTAAGCCCTAAGCCCTAAACCCTAAACCCTAAACGGCACAGCGGCAAGCTCTCGGCCTCCCATGTAGGCCTTGGGCGGATCCCCACCCACCACAAAAGATCCTCGGAGTCTTCTCGGGGACATTCCGAAGGAGTAGGTTTTTGAGGGTGCATCGGGCTTAGGGCGAGGAGCTTAGGGCTTAGGGTTGCTTAGGGGTTATGGTTTACGGTTTGTGGCGTTTTGGGTTCAGAGGATGTTCGTGGTGCGAGGTGGTAGGAACATGTAGAAAAACAAGCAAGGTGATCCAAGGATCTGGGCAGTTGGTGGGCGAGCTCGGGCATGTGGCCATCAGATGTCCAGTGCGATGCCCGGCGCTTCATTTGGGGCACCAGGGGTGCCTCGTCGCCCTCCAGCAGCAGCGCGTGGGGAAGCGGCCACACGAAGCCCAAGGACCTTAGGGACCAAAGGGACCCTAGTTAAAAGGCTTTATGGTTCATAGACCTTCATAGGGATTCTAGTAGTATAGGGCATAGGGTGTATGACCCCAAAGCTCAGGTGCATTTGGTTTCCAAGGGACAGGGTCCTGTTCGAGCGCTTCTCGGCCATGGCCTCGAGCTTGACCTGGAAGAAGTAGCGGTGGCCCTTGATCGGAGGCAGCTCGCTGGTCAAGGCCACGGCGCTGATGAGGCCTATACTGAACTTGGAACCCTTTGAAAACTTAATTTTTAGGAATTGTAGCACCCAAAGATAAAAAAATTATGTCCAAGTACTGCTAAGAGACCCCTCTCCCGCGTGGCGATGTCCAGGTAGGGCTTCTCGTCATCTCCTGGCTTTGCTGGTGGCGCCGAGGCCTGCGACTGCGACGCGAGCGCGATGTTGGGGCTGCAGGTGGCAAAGGTGAGGAGCGGGAAGTAGCTGGCCGCCTCTTCCCGGATGAGGTGCCGCGCCCACGACGTCGAGCGCACCTCCACCAGCGCGGCGCCACCTGCCCGGTTTCTCGAGGCCGGTACTCGCACGCGGGCCGCGGAACAGGCGCCGCTCGACAGGTCCTCGAGGATCTCGCAGCTGTTTCCGTCCACCCAGACTTCACTGATGGCTGCCGCGAGATCTTGCGCCTTCACGACCACCTCTGCCCCACTGCAGGGGATGCGGGCAGGCTCCAGCTTAAGCCTCAGTGGAACGGCAGGCTCCGTTCCCTCAACCTCACTCGCCTCCTTGTGCTGGGGGCCGGTGTCCCCAGCGTCCTCTGCGTGGTCGCCCAGCGCCTCGGATGTGTGGGGGCACAGGTTCTCGATGCGGACGGACTTCTGACGCCCATCCGGGAGCTTCACGTAGAGGCGGCCGGTGCTCTCCTCGCCTTCGACGATAACCACCAGCTCGTTCAGGTCCACGGCCTTCTGGAGACCTACAATGCCTTGGTAGCCCAGTAACCATCTTTATAGGCAGTTTGTAGGTAAGGGTGCGTTTTTTTGGGGGTTGGCTGCTTTCTAAGGGAACCTTGAACCAACAAAAAGGAAAAGAGTACCACTAAACTACCAAGATGCGGGCCTTCTCCCCAACTTGCAACTCTGCTGCCACGGCCTTCATGGCTCCCTGCGCCTTCGTGCCCACCACAGACATGATGCCGATGTGCTGCCGGAAGAGTGCCAGCAAGGTTTGCCGGAAGTGCACGGGCCTCCTGTAGATGAAGAGCTGTAAGGCCGTGGTCAGCTTCTGCTCGCGCAGTTGGTGGACTTCCTTGGCACGTTCCAGCTTCTCACGGTTGCGGGCGATCTGATCCGTAACAACCCCCTTGGAGACGCTCTGCAATGTGGCGACCTTCTCCTCGTAGTGCTGCCGATCCGAGAGCGCGTCGTCCCGCTCTTGCAGCAGCGCAGCCACCGAGGCGCACTCCTTCAAGACCTCGTCGCAGCTGCTCATCACCTCTGCGAAGCCGGCCTTCCTCAGGCATTGCTCGAAGGACTCCGTGACGCTCGCGCACTCCTGCATCAGGGCCATGGCAGAGGTGTCCACGCCGCTGACATCCAGGCCGAAGTACCTCTGAAGCCCTTGCATGAGCGTGGCGTGGGCCTGGGCGATCTCCCCCATGTGGTTGGCGATCTTCGCCGTGGTGTCGCGGACTAGGGCCGCTAGTTGCCTCTGAGGCTCCACGGTTGCCTCAGCATTCTCGTAGTCCAGGTGCTCTGGGCTGCGCGACCGCCGGCGAAAGCGGTGGTGGGTGGGATCCATGAAGTCTTTGAGGAGCGACATCTTGCAAAAGAGACTCAGTAATAGACATACATCGACACACCTATGTCATAGATATGCTTACACAGTCCCAGTGATGCAATTACTCAGACCGGTGCTCCTAGCTGCTGTCTGCTGCTGCTCCTGGACGAACATGCGCAACACCGGTAAGCTACAGCTGGGCCAACTTTCCTATTTCTGTGCAGAAGCTGCAGCTACTGCGCGGCACGTACAGCTCTACATAGCGGCTCTCAGACAGCTCTCGGACAGCTCCCAGACATTGCAACTAAAGCCTAAACCCTAAACCCTAAACCCTAAACCCTAAACCCTAAACCCTAAACCCTAAACCCTAAACCCAGGGTTTCATGGGCATGGACTCACGCTCAAAGGGTCTTTTGGTCTGGCGAGGCAAGGGTGTCACGGTTCAGTCCAGCAAGCTGGCAGCACGTGCGAAGACTGAAGCACACTTGGGCCAGCAACAACACAGAGCCTGGTAGGAGCTACACACAAGGATGCACTGAAGACACGCACACATGCAGCGCACAGCGTGCAAAACTCGGGGGGGTGAAATTCCGGAAGTGCAGCTGTGAGGAAACGTTTGCAAGATTTTGCAAGATACAAGAGCCAGGTGCCAGCACGCAACACACATCTGCATAGGATCTGCTAGGCTGATGTGCTTCCGAACTGCGCTTAGGCACGCTTGGCACTGCTCCACACTGCCAGTTTTCAGTGTGGCCAGATGAGCAGATCGAGTTTTGAACCTCGGGCTTACACTGTCAGGCTTCAGGGCTTAGGGCTGAAGGTTTAGGGTTGAGGGTTTAGGGTTTCGGGTTTAGGGTTTAGGCAATCTCAGATTGTTGAGGAATTGGTGGTGGGTGCCTGAAAAGCGCGACGGGAACCTCGAGCCCGCGAGGGTTGCCTAGGGGACTGTGCGGGCACAGCTTCGGGGTAGTTGAGAAATACTTTTTGGAATTAGAAGGAGATCATACGGATAATCTTGACAAAGGGGGTTCCGAAATTAGGGGTAGCTTATTGGGGATTTTGATTATAAGAAAATCCTATTTGGGGGGTCTATATCAGGGGTCCCTTCTATATCGTAAACTCCCACATCTGTTTAGGCTGCTGGACAGCTGGTATGCCGGGCCCCAAACTGCAGCAAGCAGGCCACCACACGGCGAAGTGTGCAGCAAGAAGACTTCTCTCCCTGGGCTCTTCTTGCGAGGAGGGGGCCCAGCAGGCCAAGAGGGTTTAGGGTTTTGGGTTTAGGGTTTGGGGCTTAGGGAAGGTTTGGGTTAGGGTTTAGGGTTTAGGGTTTGGGGTTTAGGGTTTAGGGTTTAGGGTTTAGGGTGTAGGGTGTAGGGTTTAGGGTTTAGGGTTTAGGGTTTAGGGTTAGGGATCATTATCTTCATTTAGGTATAGCCCTACATAAGACGCTTCCGGGCTGACCTCGAGGGAGTCACCTCACACTATTGCCTTAAGGCTCCGGCAACCATGGCCACCATGACTGCAGCTCAACCGGATCATCCGGATGGGTTGAAGTCCTGCACGGGGCACGGATGCACGAGGAGATAGTGTGGTGGAGCCGGGGGCCCGGAATAGAGGGCTATAAATTTCAATGGGTACATGGGGTTAGATGGGGTAGCTTGCGCTATGGCCATATACGGATGGCAAGGTACCCTAAACCCTAAACCATAGCCCCAAAACCCTAAACCCTAAACTTTAAAGCACCTGAAGCCGACACAGTTCAACCCTCGCTCCTTCGCAAACCTGAGCCCCTACAGTACAGCTCCTAAAGCGCACCGATCCGAGCTTTTCCTTCCGCTACAGCCTCAACCCTAAACCCTATAACCTGCTAGACTCTAAAACCCTGGTCTTTCTGCTTCGAACGCGGGGTGTAGGGCCTGGCGTTTAGGGCCTAACAAGGTTTTAGGGTTGAGGGTTTTTGCTCCACCTCCTCATCCTGGCGACCTAGAGCCCTCCGAACACCCCGATTCCTCCATCTTCTTGAGGAGCGTCTCGGCGTAGTTGGGCGAGTAGTACCTTTGCAACGAAGTGCGGGGTGTAGGTGTAAGGGTTGTGAGAGCTTGGGGTGGGCAATTCGGATCCCCAAACCCTAAACCCTAAACCCCAAACCCCAAACCCTAAACCCTAATCCCTGAACACTGAACCCTGAACCCTGAGCACCAAAAAGCCCCAAAAATGTCACGGAGGCTGCGCCCGCTGTGCTCCCGGCTGCACAATCTCCGGTGGGTAGAGCATGTTGATCTCCTCGATGTAGTCGTGCAGCTTGGAGCCGACCTATACTTGAGGTTTAGGGTTTAGGGTTTAGGGTTTAGGGTTTAGGGTTTGGGGTTTAGGGTTTAGGGTGTAGGGTTTAGGGTTCAGGGTTCAGTTTTCAGGGTTTGGGGCTTAGGGCTTAGGGTTCAGGGTTTAGGGTTTACGGTTTAGGGTTTAGGGTTTAGGGTTTACGGTTTAGGGTTTAGGGTTTGGGGTTTAGAGTTTAGGGTTTAGGGTTTAGGGTTTAGGGGTTTCAATTTTAGGGTTCAGGGTTGTAGGGTTTAATTGCATGTTCCTCCCTGGTACTAGCAGTCCTTGATCGGGATTTAAATGGGGTGGTGGTATAATCCCTCTTAAGGACTGCTAGTAGAAGGGGGAACATCCCACGGTTTAGGGTTTAAAAGTTGAGGGATTTTGGTTTGCTGGTTTAGGGTTTAGGGTTTTAGGGTTTTAGGGTTTTAGGGTTTTAGGGTTTTAGGGTTTTAGGGTTTTAGGGTTTTAGGGTTTTAGGGTTTTAGGGTTTTAGGGTTTTAGGGTTTTAGGGTTTTAGGGTTTTTTTAGGGTTTTTTTAGGGTTTTAGGGTTTTTTTAGGGTTTTAGGGTTTTAGGGTTTTAGGGTTTAGGGCTTTAGGGTTTTAGGGTTTTAGGGTTTTAGGTTTTAGGAGTTTATAGGGTTTTAGGGTTTTAGGGTGTTAGGGTTTAGGGTTTAGGGTTTTAGGTTTTAGGGTTTTTCGGGTTTTGGGTTTAGGTTAGGGTTTAGGGTTTTGTAGGGTTTCGGGGGCTGTGCGGGCTTAGGGGCAAGCCCTCGGGACCTCCGCCTTGACCTCCTGGATCTCTGAAGGCGACCATGCTGGCACTATCGTTTAGAGCAAAGCGAGGAGAGAGAGAGAGAGAGGAGAGAGCGAGAGAGAGAGAGAGAGGAGAGAGAGAGTGAGAGCGAGAAGAAGGAGAGAGAGAGAGAGCAAGAGAGAGCAAGAGAGAGCAAGAGAGAGCAAGAGAGAGCAAGAGAGAGCAAGAGAGAGCAAGAGAGAGCAAGAGAGAGCAAGAGAGAGAGACGAGAGAGAGAAGAGAGAGAGAGAGGTAGAAAGAGAGAAAAGACAGAGAAAAGAGAGAAAAAGTGCGAGAGAGATGGAGTGAGCGAGGGTGCGGGACCGAAACGGGTCGACAGCGAGAGAGACTGGGACGGATGGAGACTGAGCAACTGCTAGGCCCTAGAGCTCACGATGACATCTCCCAACCCGAAAAACCCTAAACCCCCCAAGAACAGCGCGCCTGACTGGACGAAGGACTTTCGGGCGTTGAGGTCGCTGGGAAGCACCTGCGCCATTCAGGAAAGCAAGGATTTATGAACCTGATCGTGATGCGCCCCGAACATTGGATATCCCACGATGGGCCGTGTTCAGTCTACTTTAGAAGTTTAAGCTTATTAGAAGATTGCAGACTACCTGCCACAACCAGCATTGCGAACCGAACATACTTGACAAGGCCTCTGTGAATTCCTAGTACCCAGAAACTGAGATGGACGTAGAGTCCTGAGACTCAGATACACATCCCCGAACAAGCATCCGTGCGAAGACAATCCTAAACCCCAAACCCTGAACCTCCAAAAGTCAAAACCCCTCTGAAACCCCAAAACCCCCAAACCTCCCCCAAAACCCCAAACCCCGAACCTCCAAAAACCCTTCAGCCACCTTTGCGAACTGCTGGACCACGTACTTCAAGATGTTCGGGGGCGCCTGGACCACACCCAGGTTCCCAAGAGCGTGAAGGTTGTTAGGGTTTAGGGTTTAGAGTTTAGGGTTTAGGGTTTAGGGTTTGGGATTTGGGGTTTGGGGTTTAGGGTTTGCGTCAGGGCCCTCAACCCTAAGCCTCAAACCCTCAAGAGGTTTGGGGCTGAGGTTTGTCAAGAGCAGGGTTTGGAGTTCTAGGGTTTGGGGTTTGGGGTTGGGAGCTGCGGGTTTTGTGACGTTTGCTTCAACATGGACTCTCAAACACCCAAAAGGAGTTTAGTGTTTAGGATTCATGCATGCGGTCATTCGGGCATAGAGCTAACTGCAAGGCAGCTCCAAAGCAGCCCACCTACACGCCACAACTGAGGTGGGCGCGGCTGCATACTGCTTGTGTGGTGTCATTTGGGGTTTACGAACATAGGGACCCCCAACATAAATCCCCAAATCATAGGATCCCCTCATAACAAAAACCAAAATAAGGTGCCCCGAATATCGGAAACCCCCATGTGCACTGCTGCCAACCCATATCAACGTCTCCACAAGGCGGAAGGAGATGCAACGGGTGGTCCCTTCAGCACACAACTTGTTTGGGCAAACTTCCTGAAATCCGTAGGGGTTGATAGGGTTCAGAGCTTCATCCCTAAACCCTAAATCACCCTAAACACTGAACCCGAAACCCTAAACCCTAAACCCTAAACCCTAAACCCTAAACCCTAAACCCTAAACCCTAAACCCTAAACCCTAAACCCTAAACCCTAAACCCTAAACCCTAAACCAAAACCCTTAGACTCTGATGGCGACCTCCAGGAGCGGCTCCAATGCGGGCAGGTGCGTGCACTTCTGGATCACGCTCTTCAGAGCGCGCTTGGCCTCCAGGGATGTAGGGTTTACGGGTTTTTAGGGTCAGGGCTAGGGTTTAGGGTTTAGGGTTTCGGGTTTAGGGTTTAGGGTTTAGGGTTTAGGGTTTAGGGTTCAGGGTTTAGGGTTTACAGGGGTTAGGGTTTGTTGGGTTTAGGAT